GCATCAAAGTATTAATTAAACCAACAACAATTATACTTTTGTTTCATGTGGTTTTGTTAGGTTTCATAATTCCTTAAATGGAAATCTGCACAGGTAGGTTCAATGGGTCCCATAAATTTCAGTTACTGAATTAATGTCTGGATTTTTTTCCTGTTAGCAGTGGATTCCTACTGTAGTAAGACTGCGGTGATTTTTATATATACCTTTGGCGAACTATTAAACTGTAAATTTTTAGTGGGGACTTAACAGTTTTGCACAGTGCCTAGTTGTGGCAGGTGTCTAATAATAAACTAGAAATTGAATATGCAAACATTTATAGCTGAACTTAATTTGAATAACCAGCAAGGCCAAAGAAACTAAAAGATAAAATAGATCACTAGCTTAGCCGTGTTGTGTTGCTTATGCCGATGTGCCATAAATACACTTCTAGTAAATGATGTAAGAAATTCTTGAAGATTGTGGATGTTTATTTAGAATATTTCTATGCTGTCTCTTCAGAGTCCTGCTCATGGTAGCTTACAATTAAAAACCACAGTATAAACTGTAAAACTACAGGACATAAGATGTAAGTGGTATGGAATCTGTCTGTAAAACAGCATACCATTAAAAAGGTGGTAAGATAAACCCCTAATTAAAAGCCTTGGTAAAAAGATGTGTGAGGAGTGTTGCATGACTGGGTGGGGGGAAGACTGTGGAGAGCTTTTGTGCTGGCTTGATTTGCACTTGTACACCTCCTCATGCTTGGCTTGTGATTTCTAACAGTTCTTTTGGTCCTGACCCTGACACTGGTGAGGTCATATCTTAGGTCCCATCTCCTCTTCTCATGTGACTCTGTCGCATGTTTTCTGTTCTGAGGTCCCATGGTGCTGCCTGGGAATTACATGTGGGTCTCAGATCTGAAACAGCTGAAGACCACCGCTTGAGTACATGATAGGCAGTTCTAGTGCTAGAATTCTACAAGCAACTCTTGTTTTTACAGTCTCTTATATTTTGACTAATGTAATCACTGAGCATTATTGGGTCCTTTCTTTTCTTCCTTTGGAGCACCAGACAGAAGATGGCTTTCCCAACTTTCTTGTTTTTCTCAACTTCTCTGTCTCTTCCTCCAGCAAATTAATGATGTGGTAGTATAATCCAGAAAGCAGATGTTAGTGCCCAGAATCTGTCCCAGAATCTTAGCTTATCATATGTCTCCTCATTAAATTTTAGCTGAGGAACTGTTTTCGTTTGCGTATCCATCCCAGGTTTATCTGTAGTGCGTTTTGGCAAGGTAAATTCATAATACTTCAAAAGAAATTGTTTCTTTTTCTCTGTGGTTGTCAAGATTTTACTGTCATTGCATTGGAAAAGTGCTGAATTCTGACATGTAGGGATCTGTTTTAATTTTAAGTGAACAAGCATGTAGACAAAGGTGACCTGGTAGACATTATATACCTTCAAAAGGATTTTGGCAAGGTATTTCACCAAAGACTCCTGAGTAAATTTAGCAGTCATGAGATAAGAGGACAGGTTCTCTTATAGATTAGAAATTGGTTAAATGACAGGAAGAAAGAGTAGGGATAAATGAACAGTTCTCACAATGGAGGATCGGTATTGTGCAATAAGAGCCCTTTGAGATGAAAGGGATTAAGAGGCTCTAATTATCAAATAAACTTGTTTCAAGCTATCCTATGGTCTACATACTTTCACATGAAAATACCCAATAAGAACATCTCCTGAGGCCGTTTCTTTCAGTATCCACCTTCTGAGTTTAGATGGCTAGTTACCAGAAAGATGGTCTTGTCTCTGATTTGGTGAGCTGATCATGTGATTAAGAATTAACACCCTTTATCTTTAATGGGTTATCCTCTATGAGAAAAACATAGATTCTAGGCATAGGGAAGCATGATTAAAGAAACAAATTGACAAGCTGATCTTATGTTATTACAGATTTTAAAATGTTTTCTTTTTAAAAAGCTTTTTAAATAAAATGCACTTTGATAAGTCCCCAAACTAACTGGTCCTCAAGGGGGCACAGAGAAGGTCCTATCAAATTAGAGGATGTATTTTGTATTTTTATTTCTAGGTGACCTATGGTTCCTTTGACTACACATCGTTGCTTTACCTATCAGACTATACAGAAGACTTTGGTGGAGGACGGTTTGTCTTTATGGATGAAGGTGCAAATAGGACTGTAGAACCTCGAGCAGGTAGACCTGTCTTCACTACACAATTTGCAGTAGGACCATATGGAATCTTTAGTACCTTACACTGAAGGCAATGATTTTTGTTGCTACATTTGGATTAATTCTAAGGGGTATTTCTGCCAGTGTGTATTGAGCATGATTTTCTCTCACTGTTTTCTCTGTTAGCAACTCTGTAGAGAATTTTAGTAGCCTACTAAAAGAACAGGGTTTCTATCTGTAATGTTTTATAAGAACCAATCATTTTATTCACCACATACCTTTTGCTAGTGAGATATAGATGGTAGTAACAAGGAAGAAGCTTCTTAAGATGATACAGGAAATATCTCTGGGGGCTATTTTTAAGAACATTGCACACCATAACAGCTGAATATGTGAATTCAACAAACTTTTAGATAGCATTCAGGCTTCAGATCTGCAGATGTGTCACAGGACAGGTACCAGGAGCTAGGAGCCAGTCAAATGTAATGTGTCCTCCTGCCTTTGTATTCTTGTTACAGGTCGAGTTTCCTTCTTCACTTCGGGTTCAGAAAACCTTCATCGTGTAGAGAAGGTCCATTGGGGCACCCGCTATGCCATCACCATTTCCTTCACCTGCAATCCTGATCATGGTATTGGAGATCCAGTTTTAACATAATGGGACTGGTGGCCAAATGTATTGACAAGAGAAACCCCTGTGCAGGAGGGAAAAAAGAGATTAACTTCTCATTTAGATGCCATTACAGCAAACTCTTCTAAATGTTTATTTAATGTCAATGTCAGCTGTTTTCACACACTCCTCTTCCTCTTAAGTGTTGAAACAGTGCCTTAAGGACCATCTTTCTAACTTAAGGAGAATTTAAAGACTGCAGAACTGGCCCTGTATAAAGTGTCCTCCTGCTAATAGTGGAGGCCTAAATGTTGTCCCTTCCATTGTTGCTCCAGAATATAATTTCATAATTTACTTTTTGGGGACAAATGAATACTCAGGAACAGGAAAAAGAAGAATTGGAGCAGTTTCTGATAATCTTCCATTGCCTCTTCCTCCACCCTGTCTATGATCTTTCTTTCCATATACCAATTAAATTCTGCAAAATAATAAGGATAACCAAGTAAAGTTTTGGTCACTTACATAAACTGGATGTTTTTTGTATTTCAAACTTCCTGCACAAAGCCTTAGTGTTCTGAATGTTGTCCATGTATCTTTTTAAAAATCTTTTACTACAATATTTTTCTCCTTGAGAAAAGAAAACACGTGCTTTGACTACTGGACTTGCCCGCAGCTGCTGAATAAAACAATTGTATGCAGACTTGATAAATGGTTTCATATGATTCAACAGGAAAAGATTGTTCAGAAGAAAATAAAACTACTGAATAGTCTGCTTAATGCTGGTTCAACATCTTTGGCTTGCCATAGTTATAGACTGTGCACTTCTTTCTTTTTAAAAAGTTGTTTTTTCCTACTCTGGACTCAATTTGTTTAGTTTAACATACATTAGATTTGAACTATCACAGTAGTTACAAGCTATACTAAGGTTTGCTTTGGAATGAATTAGGTTGGGCTGTTCCTATAAAAAAGCCAGTCTGAAACGGTATAGAAATATGAGGAAGAGTGTAGTTGACATTAATGAAAACTCTAAAATTAAATGTAATTATGATAAAGATCCTACTGCATTTAGAAAACCTTAACATGTGTTAGTCCCAGATAAAGAAATGAGATGCACAGAATTTCTTTAGGTGGAAAACTAGATTTTTAGAGCTGTGAAAATTCATACTAATTAAAGCTGTGGGAAAAATTGGTGTGGTAACTCACTGCTTCCCATCGCCACCCTATGAGCTACAGCTTAGAGCAGGAGGCATGAACTCCTTATAGATATCATCAAAGGTCAGCCTTCTGATTATTCACTCCAGTAGCTCAGAATGCAGGGATTCTTCTTCATGGTCTCTGTGCATCATACCTCTGGGATATAGTGTGCCTGCGCCAACCTCGATCAGTTCCTCTTGAAAGTGAATGGGATTTCCATGCCCGCTCCCCAGTCCCGCTCCGGCCCCACTGCACATGACCAAGGGAGGGACACGACAATCCCGCTAGTTCTCTTCTGACCTCTGCGCTGGTAGGATCTTTTCTGCTTCAGTCAGTAAAACTTTTGGCTTTAAGTCCTATTACTCTTTTTCTTCTAAGTTTCTTCGCCTTTTTTCTTGTTTTTTATTAAGTGAAAGGACATTGTTACTACAAATTCGTTGTTTTGGGGGGACTTTATCGTTTGGTCTCTTTTTCACAGACCGTGTGTCCACCCCCACCCCCCCGGACATATGTTCAAGAGGTGGGTTTTCTTTAAACGGTGCCTCAAGTGCGGTAGTAAAATAGCTCCCCCAGACGGACACTCGTTTTGCCTTCTGTGCCTTGGGGAATCACACCAAGTGGACTCTCGTGCACATTGCACGAAGCTCTCAAAACAGACGAGAAAGAACAGAGCTGCTAGAGTTCACGTCACGCGTTTGGAGTTAGCGCTCTCAGCAATGTCGTCACAGGACACTTCGGGGCATGCATCAATGTCGACTGCTGCGTTGTCCCCGATACCAACTAACTCAGATATTGACCACCGATGCTGAAACGCACGACCCAGACATCTCAGTCCTTAGCCCATACTCCCTCCAAAAAATGCAGGGAAGGCAAGGACAATCGGCCAGTCAAGCACAAAAAGCATAAGAAAACTCTCCCTATGCAAACTCCGCTGACCCCTCGGAGGGCCACGGAATCGAATCTCACAGGGGCTGCTTCGCTTGACTCTTCAAGCCAAGAGCAGCCACAAGGTGTACCGCAGTTGCCTTCGCTGTGTCCTGTCCAGCTCACTGACTCTGAGCACGATATGGACTTAATGCAAATCTCCTGGTCTTCCAGTGTTGAAAGCCTACACTCCGAGCGTGGAGCTGACACTTTTGTTCATCCTTCACCGTTCTGACCCAATGATCGAGAATGGCCATCGGCACCAATCCACCCACTGCCACCCCCCTCGGATCAGCGGCAATGGCAATACATGTATGGGGCCTATCCATTCTCAAGTGGCATGCCGTGGTTTCCACACCAGCTGGTGGATTGGGACCGTCAGTCTACCTCCCCCCAGCTCTCTCAGTATCAAAATCCTCCACTGACGCCAGAGATTGTGCAGCCTCAGCCATCGAGACTGACAAGCAAACCTTCCAAACCACCGCCTCCAATAGTTCCCAAGTTTAAAGGGCCATCGGACCCTGTCCCATCGACACCTATGTTGCCTATTTCCTTTTCTGAACCATCTGAACATTTCGTCTCTTCCGACACCTCTCAATCAGAAGATGAAAACCCCGATCCTCAGATGGAACCCTCGCCACCTCACCAAGTGGGCAAGGATCTTCCAATTTCTCCATCAGAGGATCTCAAATCTTATGGGGACTTTATCAAACGGATAGCAAACACAATGACCCTGTCTACGGTGCAACCCCCGCCTACCGTAATGGACTCTGTGTTTGATATCGTACAGATGGACACTTCTACACCAATAGCCTTACCGATGACGTCGGGCCTTGTTCAGGCGGCTAAAACCCTATGGTCTCACCCGGCATCTACCCCTGCCTCGAGCCGGAGAGTAGATCATATGTATAAGGTGCAGAAGCAGAGCGCTGAGTTTTTATTCACCCACCCTAAACCTAATTTCGTCGTAGTCACCTCTTCTTCCAAAGGCAGAGGCAGTCATTCCACCCCTCCCGAGAAAGAAGGGAGAAAAATTGATTCATTTGGAAGAAAGTTTTATTCTGCGGGTGCACTTGGCATCAAGACTACAAACTATACTGCGTGTATGGGTAGATATCAGTTTGCTCTCTGGGAACAGATGTCCACTGCAAACAGTCCACTGCTTTTTAACTTGTTCATTAATGATTTGGAGTTGGGAGTAAGCAGTGAAGTGGCTAAATTTGCAGATGATAACGAAGTTGTTCAGGGTGGTGAAAACCAGGGAGGATTGTGAGGCACTCCAAAGGGATCTGTCAAAGATGGGCGAGTGGGCATTAACATGGCAAATGGGGTTCAATGTGGCCAAGTGCAAGGTGATGCACATTGGAGGCAAAAATCCTAAATATAAATACACATTGATGGGGTCTGAACTGGCAGAGACTGATCAAGAGAGAGATCTTGGAGTTGTAGTAGATAACTCACTGAAAATGTCGAGACAGTGTGTGACTGCAATAAAGAAGGCCAATGCTATGCTGGGGATTATTAGGAAGGGTATTGTAAACAGATCAGCCAATATCATAATGCCGCTATATAAATCAATGGTGCGACCTCATCTGGAATACTGTGTGCAATTCTGGTCACCACACCTTAAAAAGGATATTATAGCTTTGGAAAAAGTGCAGAAAAGGGCAACTCAAATGATAAAAGGGTTGGAACACTTTACCTATGAGGAAAGGTTAAGGCGCTTAGGACTCTTTAGCTTGGAGAAACGACGACTGAGGGGTGACATGATTGAGGTTTATAAGATTATGCATGGGAAAGAGCAGGTAGAGAAAGAGGTACTTTTCTCCCTTTCTCACAATACAAGAACTCGTGGGCACTCCATGAAATTGCTGAGCGGTCGGGTTAGAACGGATAAAAGGAAGTACTTCTTCACCCAAAGAGTGATTAACACTTGGTATTCACTGCCACAGGAAGTGGTGGCGGCACAAGTATGGACGGATTCAAAAGGGAATTAGATAAGCATATGGAGCAGAGGTCCATCAGTGGCTATTAGCTACAAGGTATAGATAGGGACTTTGGAGCAGTGATGCTCTGTCATCTTGGTGCTTGGGGGGGTCAACAGTGGGATGGCTTCTGGTGTCCTGGCCCCACTGGTGGACCTCCTGATGGCACTGGTATTTCTAGCCACTGTGTGATACAGAGTGTTGGACTGGATGGGCCTTTGGCCTGATCAAACATTGGCATCTCTTATGTTCTTATTGCATCCCTCCCTGAGGGCTCTAACCATCAGGCTCGCAGGATTCAAAAGGAGGATATGCTTTTGGCCAAGCATCAGCTCAGTGCAACTAAGCACACACTGGATGTGGCGCCAAAACGCTGACTTCAGCAGTTACCCTCTGACGACATGCCTGATTGCGTTCTACTGCCTTACCACAGGACACCAGGGCTCTCATTGAAGAACTCCCATTCGAGGGTGAGGGCCTCTTCAGTGTCATGACTAATATGGTCCTGCAAGACCTAGACAAAAGCATAAAGACATCATAGAATTTAGGAGTCATGTCAGCCCCTAAACTATCCAAAGCGAAATCCTGGAACAAGCCATGGTCTCGCAGGTCTTCTCTTAAGTTGTCCCCGGAAACACAGTGGCAATGCTCACCCACTATGTCTTCCCACCCTTATGGGCACAAACCAAAATTCTCATCCTCCGCTCAGCCTAGGGCTATGACTCCGAAAGCTCCCAAGCAGAGCCCTTGGCTCCTGTTGTCCCACGCCTACCTGGCTGCCTGGCAGCAAATAATGTCAGACCAGTGGGTACTCTCCATCATCAAAAAAGAGAACCTCATAGAATTTATCCAGATACCCGAGGCCCCCAACTTCATAATTACCCCACCATCCAGTACGCTCCTGGAAGAAATCCAGGACCTTCTTCAAAAGGACACTATAGAACCAGTCCCAACAGCACAACATCAACACAGGTTCTACTCCCATTATTTTATGGTTCCAAAAAAAGACGGAGGCCTCCGTCCTATTATGGACCTAAGGGGACTCAACCAGTTTATCTCCTATCGGAAATTATGAATGAAAACATTACAAAGCATTCTCCCCCTTCTCAGCGAAGGTGTCTGGATGGTAACCCTGGACTTGCAAGACACATATTTTCATATAACTATCGACCCATCTCACAGGAAATTTTTGTGTTTTACAGTTGCAGAAGGGCATTTTCAGTACAAAGCCCTCCCTTTTGGACTCTCAATGGTGCCCAGAGTCTTTACAAAAATGATTATTGTCATCATGGCATACCTCTGTCTTCAGAGTATACGGATCTTTCCGTACATAGATGATTGGTTGTTGATAGCAAGCTCCAGAGAGACTCTGCTCAACCATGTCGATTTGACGCTGGTCACCCTAGATGCGTTGGGCCTGAGCGTGAACCTAAAAAAGTCAATGCTCCTTCCTTCATTGAGAGTCCAGTTTATCGAAGCGATTTTGGATTCGACTAACTGCCGAGCCTTTCTCCCTCCCAAAAGGGCGGGAGACATTATCGCTCTCATCAACCTGATAAGAACACAGGGAGATACATCAGTAAAGCAA